TGCTAAATGAAACATACATTGGTCCCAGAAATGGTTTCTATAGTTTCTAATAAAAGGGTTCTTTGGATTCCAAAATATAACCCATTTACCTACTTGTGCCCTTTTTTTGTAGCTGGGAGCACTGCTGATATGCAGATTAGTTGAACTCGGTAAACAGACGGCCAAAATATTGTGTCTGAACCTACCCAGCATTCTATTAGGCTGTAACTTTGTCCATTCAGGGGAAGAAGTGCCCATCTCTCCTTTCTCTGCAGAAACTGGTGCTTACCCAGGGCTGGTTTTCAGGGCTCTTGCATGAAAAAAAACAGAAATACAGCAGCAGAGGGGGCAGAAGAACACACCCTGAATCAAGACACTTAAAGTGGAACTATAGCTAAAAATAATGAAAAATGGGCAAACAAGCAGGAATTTTACTGCAGAAGAGACTTGGTTTTGTCTCTTCTGCATTAAAGTTGCTTACCTGCCCGTTCGCCCCGTACAGCGAGCCACACATGCGCAGCTCACTGTACAAATTTGGCAATGCTGAATGTGACTGAACGCCCACGCATGACAGCGGCCAGCGATCGAGACCTAGAAGCAGGCCGCTCAAAGAGGTCAGCGGCTGGGCAGGGAACAGAGGAACACCGCAGAGCTGGAACTAGGAGGAGTATAGTTCCGCTTTAAAAGGAGAACAGCCAAAGCTCACTTGACTGTACTTCTCCTGTTGATCACAGGAGTGCAGTTAGTTCTGCACTCCTGTAACCAGTTTCTGTTTCGGATGTCACAGAGCCAGTCCAGGCTGGGGAAAGGTCAAGTCCATATGGTTGGGATCCACCCAGGAGCTTGGACTGGTACCTTCCTTAGCAAGCTGCTGAGAGCCTGAGCCAGCAACTCCACCCCCCCCTCCCCTTCAAAGCCCAACGCTCCAGTAAGTGCTGGGGGGGGGGGGGGGGTTTAGAGCAGAGAGCGGTGACTGACACACACACACACACACACACACACACACACACACACACGATGCTGTCCCCAACTTGGTCATTTTAAACATGGTGAAGCTTGGGGGAGAGTGGGTCCAAACACGTAAATTTTTTTTTTCCTACTTATCCATATCAAAGACTGGGAGCTCCAATTTTATGAAACAGTTTGTCTGAAATTACATAAGTAATAGATACAGTAGTTCATTAACCCATTCCCACCTGCTGCAGTGTCCCTTTAAACAGTTATGAACGTGCCAGGGATGAGAAGGTCGGCAATCATGACTACTGTCACAGTGGTCACATGATCAGAAGACAGTTCTGCTGGGTATCAATCTTTCATTCAGATCGAGAGCGGTGTTTGACAGCTCGATTTTTGGCTGGGAGCACATAAACATTGGCTACCCAGTGACGTGCGGGGGCATTAAAGCCCACACTTGGCTGCAACATGTTAGGCAGTCATAAAAAGGGTTAAAGTTGTCAAGCGCTGAGTTGAACAGGGATGTCCCATGTCTAAATAGTCACATATCCTAACTTTACAACTGTCAAAACTATTTTTTTTTTTTTACTTGCTGAATCAACAAGAAGGTCCCAAGTCCCTGGTGCCAAGCTGTGTCCTTTGGGCACATGCTATATGGAACTCAAGGCCTTTGCAGGCAGCCGTAGGAAGTCAGACGGAATAGTGGGGAGCATTGGAGTCGTCATGGAGCTGTGGATTGCAATATTCCTGCTGGTTCTGTCCATGGTTTTTCCTGCGCCATCCCTGTAATGCAATGAAAGGCCAGTGGTGGTGCCGGAGTCATCCCTGAAAGCGGTCAGACCAGTGGTGTTTTCCCTGTCTCCATAACATGATTTTCCTGATGGAAGTTATCCATACCTGTGGAGGAGCTGGATATTTCTTTATGCACATTTAACATGCGCTTCTGGTAAATGCATTCATATAGCAGGTTTCAAGCACGAAGTCACTTTCACCGGTTCATCACGGAGAATTTTGGGACGTTTTAATATTCATCCGTTTTGTCTCAACAATTTAATATATATTGGACTATTCACTTATGTCACTTTATATTTATATATTTGCAAAGCCCACTTACTCACTGACATTTTGCGGGACACTTTAGCAATATTATTCACTTGTAGCGCAAATTGAGCGCCTTCACTTTGAGAAATGTCACTTTATTAAGTAGAATTTTTATTTTTATAATAGTATCCAGCGCTGCATTATACGTTTTTCATAGTTTTGAGGAAATAGGGGTTCATCCTTTATGCCAGCTGCTTTATGTTAGTCTGAGCGCTCGCTTCTCTTTGCTTTTTTGACATCCTTTGCAAGCAATAGTATGTGTTTACCATATCTACGTGCTTACCCAAGGCAATGAAAGAAATATTTAGACTGGATACAAATATTTAATAGTTTAGTTAATTATTTATTACAGGTACTTATAGAGCACCATCAAATTTAGGCAGTGCTTTACACACACACACACACACACACACACATATATACACACACACAGTACATTCACATCAGTCCCTAACACTCAAGGGGCGTACACAGGGACAGACTGACAACTCATGGGGTCCCCGGACAATAGGGAATCATGGGGCCCGTGTCCTCACCCACACTCAAAAAAAAAAAAAAAAAAAAAAAAAAAAAAGGTACCAGGGGCATTTCATGGGGCCCCCTACTGACCCCGGGCCCTCAGGCAGTGCCCGAGTGCTCGAATGGTCAGTCTGCCCCTGGGCGTACAGTCTAAGGTCTAACTCACATTCATACATACACATACTAGGGCCAATTTAGACAGGATCCAATTAACCTACCAGCATGTCTTTTGTTCTTTCGCACATCTTACATTTTTTTTTCTTTGACATTATCCTTTATTTTTTTTTTTTGGTGTTAAATATCAAAAAACAGCTTTTGTATGGAGCAGAAATCTTTAGAAGTGGTTTGTAACATGTCCCCTGAAGAATGTCCTCAGTTTCTAACAGTTCCTATAGCACGATTGGTCATCCGTGGTCTGTGACCTTCTGTAGCATATCTGCAGTCTGTCCACCTCTTGAAGCATTCTGCAGTCTCTGATGATCTCCTATTCCAAGCCTGCAATCTCCTACAGATTAATGTAGCCCTACACTCACCAAATATCACGTGCAGCCCTTAGGTAGTTATCAGGCCCTCATATCAAACACAGGGGATTACCATGGTCCTGTCCCTTAACTATCTGGTCACCACTGGGATGGAAAAGACAAATTCTTTGGTATGTAGTGGATCTTGAGTCAGGATAGGGGTCATGGCATCTCTTTTTGCACCAGAAGCTACTTCGCCTTTAAAGTGACAGTAAATTCTGGTTTAGAACACAAAAAAAAAAAAAAAAAAAAAAAAAAGAAATCTATTCAACTATATATATTTAACTCAAAAAAGTACACTATTGCGCTCATCCCCCTCAAAATTCCCTGTTTTTTTTTGCTGCTGTTATCCACACTTCCTGTTAGAGGGAGGGTACATTCATTCTCCATGGTCTCACTGTATGTAGGAACGCAGCCCCCCGCTCTTGCTCACTCTGGAGATGGACTATGGCATGTGTAGTGTGCATAGAGCAGTGCACATGACCGCAACTAACATGCATTGCTCGTTCCAAATAAACGAAGTTAGGGGGAAAAGGAGAGGCTCAGAAGCTCATGGAGGATGTTACAAGGAGGCAGAAAAACAAAGTATGTAACAATTCCATGAAAAATAGAATACAGGGTTATTGTGCAGTGGATGTGTATGGATTATGAGGATATCCTTGAGCCCTGGTTCACACTGATGCAGTGCGGAATTTGCAGCGTTTTCTGGGCGATTTCCGCACCACATCAGAATTACACCCCGTTCATGCGAACCGCTGCGGGTCTGTATGTTAACAACACCCTGAAAGCGGACCGCAAAACGCAGTGCGATGTGCAGAACCAGATCGCATAGGTGTGAATACCCATGCGATCCGATTCTAGTGCTGACCAAAAAAGGGGTCCTTTGCCTTTTTTGGTGCGGTGCGATTAGAGCCATACAAAATGTATGGCTCCAATTGCACCGCACACAAATCGCATGTGATTTGCACAGGAATGCAGTGCGGTTCCTGTGCGAATCACATGCGATATACCTCACATGATATATGTGAACCCAGGCTCACAGAGATCACTGTACTCCCCCTGACAATGCCATCATCTGATCTTCTCTCTAGAAGGATGGAGTCATAATTGTTCAGGCCTCATCCAGGTTATCATCTACCTCCTGGACTGAGATGCCAGCTCAGAGATGACAATCATATGAATCCTGGTGCCTGTTACAGTTCTTGGCTGAACTCGCACATGTCTGACACAGAATCAGTCCCTGCTGCAGTTTCTTTATCTCGATACTTGCTACAAAGTTAGAATACTGCAGTCTGATCACTGGGGGGCGAGGAGACCGGTTTACATCTGCCCGGTGAATTTTAGGTATATTGCGTTTTACATGTGTTTTAGGTGCGTTACCACTGAACTCTATATGATGTGTTTTGATTAAAGAGCATTAAAGCAGAATTTAATACAATGATACCAACGCTATGCAAAATCCAACATGGAAATTGTATTATGAATACCCATGCAATCTGATTCTAGTGCGGATCAAAAAAAATTGTCCTGGTGCGGTGTGCGGGACGTTTAGAGCCATACAAAATGTATGGCTCCCTTCGCACGGCACACAAATCACATGTGATTTGCGCAGGAATGCGGTGCGGTTCCTGTGCGAATCACATGCGATATACCGCCCTAGTGTGAACCCGGGCTCACTGTAACTAATTATAAGTCTTGTAAATACAGCATGGTTCGTTTTTATAATTTATATATATATATTTATATAATTCTTCAGTATACCATGGTTGCACTAGAGGCGGCTCCAGTTTCTACTTCCAGACTGTAAACTGGGGAGCTTTACTTTTCCTCCAAATACATAAAGTTGCCCCAGTTAAATGTTTAATTAGTGGATTTTGTGTTCTTCCTGGGCGTCCTCAAGTGTACATCTTTAAACCCGCCTCTTACCTTTCATCCAGCTCCTCCAGGCGGCTGCGCACGCTGTGAGCATTTGTCTCCCGTGTAATCCTCTGCAGGAGATAGAAGGTCTGCTGGCACACACGTAACAGGTATTCCTGAAACTCCAGGGGAACACAGTTCTTGCACATGAGTTCATTAATACAAGACATCGCCAACACCCCGAGCCGGTCACGGTCAGTCTGTGAGCTGGGCAGTGTCAAGGGATGAGGAGGGCTGCTGCTCCGGCCATTTAGAGTGGCAGAAGAGGTGGTGGTAACTATAGGAGTCTTTCGTGAGCGGGCATCACAACCCAGGCGAGCAAAGTGAAAGATGGTGGTGAGGAGTGAGGGGGTGATGCTGGCGGAAAGAGGGATCCAGCTGAAGAGGTGAGAGAGGCACTCCAGGGCCAGGGCACAGATGCGCTCACTCTCTGCCTCCAGGCTCGGTGGGGGTTGGCTCAGTTGCTTAGCCAAGGCAGGGGTGTGCACAAGGTTACTGAGGAGGTCGTCTGCAAGAGAAAAAAAAATATCATGAAGGATCCAGAATAAGAAGGAGGAAACGGAGAACCACAACAAAGCATTATTAACCGTGCAACACACTGAACCTTGGAAATTTCCCTTGCCCCTTTTTCCAAGTCAAAATTGCTTCCATAGGGAGTATCAACTATTCCTGAAACAAGGAGACTCCAACATAACAATTCTGAATCACCATTTCCTTTCGCAGAGTCTCCTCTGTCAGCAGCTAGCAATTTCAACTTGATTTCACATTTCCCCTGGTATGGACAAGCATGAGCATTTTGGAAGCTAGAGTTTAACCCCTTGAATCCGACAACACAAGGGGAAGCAGCCTGAAAAGTGAAACCTAATCTAAAAACTAGTAAGCTGTAAGAGATCACATTCTTGTCATGGGTTTAGCTACTCTTTACATTTTTGGGGCTTTACTTTACCGCCCACCTACCTACCTACAGCACCCTCCCCCATCCCCCCTCGTTCCAGTGATCTTTGTTATGCAACAACCAGAGGCCATGCCCCCCTACTTTTGATTTATTGGAAAGAATATTTTTTTCTTTCCATGATAGGAACTTCTGACAGCAAGTTTCACTCAACATCACTCGTTCTGATAGGGCTACCTCGCCTTATGCTCACCTAAGCATAACAATCAGCCAATCAAAATGATCGAGACATGTACGGCTTACCACGTATGGCCGCTACTATCCACGCTACAGCACTTTGATGACACATCAAAGGCCTGGGGAGCCATAATACACTCCTCATATTACGGACTTACACTTTACTATTTCAACCTATTTTATTATGCAACTGCGTATGCTAAAAAATAAATAAAATAAATCACTATAAAATCCTTGGTTCTGTACTTTCCAAAATAGACCCCTTCAAGAAATGTGATATTCTTGTTCCACCATATAGCAATAAACTGTGAAAAGACATGGACAGAATAACCAGCAACTCGTCCTCAAATGCCTCCTCCCTCTGCTGGGTTGACAAGCTTTGGGCTAGTGTCGGTGGTAATTTGAAAAGCTTCTAAGATCATTCACAATTGAAGTGATACTAAACCCCGGACCCCGCATTCCCTATATCCGCTCTCCCCGGTCCCCGCATTCCCTGTATCCGCTCTCCCGGACCCCGCATTCCCTATATCCGGTCTCCCCGGTCCCCGCATTCACTATATCCTGTCTCTCCCCGGACCCCGCATTCCCCGGTCTCCCCGGACCCCGCATTCACTATATCCGGTCTCCCCGGACCCCGCATTCACTATATCCGGTCTCCCGGACCCCGCATTCCCTATATCCGGTCTCCCCGGACCCCGCATTCCCTATATCCGGTCTCCCCGGACCCCGCATTCCTATATCCGGTCTCCCCGGACCCCGCATTCACTATATCCGGTCTCCCCGGACCCCGCATTCACTATATCCGGTCTCCCCGGACCCCGCATTCACTATATCCGGTCTCCCCGGACCCCGCATTCACTATATCCGGTCTCCCCGGACCCCGCATTCACTATAACCGGTCTCCCCGGACCCCGCATTCACTATATCCGGTCTCCCCGGACCCCGCATTCACTATATCCGGTCTCCCCGGACCCCGCATTCACTATATCCGGTCTCCCCGGACCCCGCATTCACTATATCCGGTCTCCCCGGACCCCGCATTCACTATATCCGGTCTCCCCGGACCCCGCATTCACTATATCCGGTCTCCCCGGACCCCGCATTCACTATATCCGGTCTCCCCGGACCCCGCATTCACTATATCCGGTCTCCCCGGACCCCGCATTCACTATATCCGGTCTCCCCGGACCCCGCATTCACTATATCCGGTCTCCCCGGACCCCGCATTCACTATATCCGGTCTCCCCCGGACCCCGCATTCACCGGTCTCCCCGGACCCCGCATTCACTATATCCTCCGGTCTCCCCGGACTCCCCGCATTCACTATATCCGGTCTCCCCGGACCCCGCATTCACTATATCCGGTCTCCCCGGACCCCGCATTCACTATATCCGGTCTCCCCGGACCCCGCATTCACTATATCCGGTCTCCCCGGACCCCGCATTCACTATATCCGGTCTCCCCGGACCCGCATTCACTATATCCGGTCTCCCCGGACCCCGCATTCACTATATCCGGTCTCCCCGGACCCCGCATTCACTATATCCGGTCTCCCCGGACCCCGCATTCACTATATCCGGTCTCCCCGGACCCCGCATTCACTATATCCGGTCTCCCCGGACCCCGCATTCACTATATCCGGTCTCCCCGGACCCCGCATTCACTATATCCGGTCTCCCCGGACCCCGCATTCACTATATCCGGTCTCCCCGGACCCCGCATTCACTATATCCGGTCTCCCCGGACCCCGCATTCACTATATCCGGTCTCCCCGGACCCGCATTCACTATATCCGGTCTCCCCGGACCCCGCATTCACTATATCCGGTCTCCCCGGACCCCGCATTCACTATATCCGGTCTCCCAGGACCCCGCATTTACTATATCCGGTCTCCCAGGAACCCGCATTCACTATATCCAGTCTCCCAGGACCCGCATTCACTATATCAGTTTATAGTAAATATAAACTGCTAAATACCTTTTCTCATCAGCAGTTAGAGCCGTCTTGTGACTTCAGCAGAGCACTGGTTAAAGCTTGTAGGAGTAGTTTTCTTTCTGCTCAATATTCACACACAGTTTTGATAGCAGAGGATCAGATTAGAATTTTAAGTGTTCCTAAACCCCGCATTTGCTAGATCTGGTCTCCCACAGTACACAGAACATGGAAATGGTAATTATTTTAGTAAATATAAACTGCTAATGAACTTTTATTATTGGCACTATGTAGCAGTCTTGTGACTTCTATCAGTTTCTGGCCAAGCACTGGTTAAAACATGTAGGAGGCGTTTTCATCCTCCTCTGACGGTACTATGAGGATGCAAAACCCCTGACCTCTGTCTGGACAGTGCTGATCACATGTACCCTCCAAAGAAAAAAAAAACGCCTCTAGCAATACACACCAAACTGAGCATGTGCATGTGACCTCGGGTTCAGTCTGTATCAGGTGGACATAACAAGAGGAGGGGCAGAGAAGAAAGGATCAAACAGCCTTTTTACACAATGCAGAGGATTAACCCCTTAGGATCCGCAGGGAGTATAACAAGCATGCTTTACTGCATCTACAGACTGATTTTACTGTTGTGGGTTTAGTAACACTATAAATGACAGATGCCTCTGACCTGCAGTAGACCTCCTTTTGGGGATGCAAAACCCACCTGGGAATGCACCCCATGAACAAAAGCCTGTTGACACAGGCCCCTACTGCATGCAGGAGAAATTTGTCGGTCAGAATCTCCATCTGGCTTCTGGTGTACATGCCACTGCTGTTTCCGATCTGGCCTGACACACTCTGGAATCGAAGAGGAGGATACCCACGTAGTGGCTGTTCAGTGTTGCTCCTGCAGTAGAGAGGCATAAAGTGCTTCCCTCTACTGCTGACATGCGAGTTCTCCTTTAATATCAGAGGGGAGAAATGCAACACTTTAGCTGCGCCCCAAAACATGAAATATGCACAGAGACGTGACAACGGGCCAATGCACTTTGCAACCTCTCCTCTGGAATTTGCTTGTTCTGAAAGGGAAATCAGGCATTAGATAGGAAGCAGCCGATAATGTCACATTACCATGATAGCTAGGGGCACAATGTAGGTTGGAGGGGGCCAAGAATCTGATGCGCCTGATGTATGAAGATCCAATTCCCAGAAGGATCAGGGAGTTGGCAAAGACTGTGCAAGAAGGGAGATACCCCCTGGGGTCACAAACTGCAGAGACACAAAAGTCAAACCCTGTCTCATTACTCACAACAGAAAATGGGAAAAAAAAAAAAAAAAAAAAAAAAAAGTGTTTCTGTGGCTCTCACTTTAAAATGTAAAACCGCTGTTTAAAAAATGTGCACCTTCCAATCTCCCTCATTAGCATGATGAGGATTACATAGCTCCAAGCATTCTGAGCCTTGTCACTGACTATCCTTGACGCCAGTCCTATAAAGCCGCATGTAGCCCGTGTTTCATTATCACCCGCCATCCCAAGGACGCTTCCAGCAAGACACGAGTCATTAGTGCACAGCGAACATTGCCCCACAGCTGCCGCTGACCCATCTAACCCAGCCGGAGCTCTCCTAGACTTTCACACGCAGAAGGACTCAAGACTTTGCAGGGTTTTCATTAACCTCCCTAGCGGTCTGATTATGTCAATATTTCTGTGCTCAAAAGCGGTACTTTTTTTTTTGCATGGAAATGTGTCTTTTTGTTGTAGGCCTGTAATTCTTAGGAATAACTCACTGAAATCTGTCCGAACGAGAGTCTAGTAAACATTCCGGGGAGGATAAAATTTGAAACACGAAATCATAAATAATACAATAATCATAAAAAATAATAAAATAATAAATTTAACTCAATAATATAATCAAACCAAAAACACTGCATTTTGAAATACAGCGCCAAGTTCGCACATCACGGAGCAAAGTCGCAAAATAGTTTTCAGTGTCTGATGATTAATTTCCCCACAAATCATTATCACTCAATTCTGCAAGTGGTTCTGATTTACTATCGCTGTTCTCTAGCCGGTCTAAAACCGCTTTTAACCTAAAGGGACGCTTTTTGGACGCCATGGACTTTTCTCAGTTTCCAGGCAGAAAGAACAGTAAAAATGCAGGCAGGGCGCCGGACAAAGCACTCGGGACAAAATGTATGTGAAATGGTTTGATGCAGTAATGTTATACTATGTGATTGTAGTGTATTTAGTGAGTCACTTTTAAAATTTTTTAATTTCCCGCCAGTTCCGTCCCCCCATACGTCCCAACGCTCGCAGGGAATGGAACCGGAAGACGGCTGCCGGTATCGGCCGGAGGAGATGGCCGGGGACGCTGCAGGGAGGGACATCGCAGGACAAGGTAAGTGCTGGAGGGAATCCCGGAGCAACGCTGCAGTGTATTCCCGAGTGT